TTACGTGGTCAAGAAATGAAAAGAAATGGAAAAGATACGTAAATTTAGCCATAAATGACCGATTTGAGGGGTGGTTTGGCCATAGGGTCAAATAATTATAGGGTAAGCTATGTGCAAATAACATAGAGTCAAATAATACAGGGTCAAATATCGCGAACAACCCCGTTCATTTTTCTCCCCCAACCCCCTCCCCAGGGTAACCGATCAGACTCACCCACAATAATGGCGTCTTCTTTTTAAGAGCAGCACCTAGTGCTCAATCCACGACCTCCTATATACAAAAATGGATTGGAAAGAAGTTGCTATAAACAAGAGTCTCGCAGCTCGCTGCAGTAGCTCAGGTAACGGAGGAGATAAGCGGCCATTAGATGTCTATTGAACATCTCTTATATACCTACCAACTCTCACGCCTGCGGGTTGAAAACTTCGATCTCACGCCGGCTCACGCCTGCGGGCCAATTTCGCACGCCTGATTGAAAAATGTGAGTTGTTGCCGTCTTGCTTGACACAATTTCCAAAATATGTTAACTCAGACCCATGTAAGGAACAAAAACCATGTGTAAAATGAATAAATGACAATACCTTCCTCACGATCTCTGATTTTTGAAGTGAAAAGCACTGGGGAGCGAGCTCGCCTTCCGCAGACTTCGGACGTCTTCGGACTTCTACGGAAGACTTCAGACTTCTTCCGGAATCTTCGGAAATGACCGTGTCGTCTTCAAAAATCCCAGCACTCCCAGGATGAAAATCTCACGCTTATATCGCAGAAAAAGTTGGCAGGTATACTCTTACCTTACCGTGATCAGCTGATTGCGCTCGACGTGAAGTGAAACACGAAGTGAACCACGTACCTCAAACGATGTACCTCAAGCAAAACTTTTTGCAGTGCTGTTAGGGTGGCCGATGTAAAACACTCCAACTCTACAACTCGTAAACGACGTCTATTCTCAGGACAAACTCCGAACAGAGTTCGATTTCCAAAAGCACATGGTCTTATGTTTCACTTCCCGGCAATCCTTACGATACTCGGTTACGCTCACGTAACGCATCGCGATGTCACGCGTCACATACTTATCTTAAAGAAAAATTTAGCAAATTACAAGATATTAAGTAGTCCCCCAGTTTTTTTTGTTTTTTTTTTTGTTTTTTTTTTTTTTACAATACAATTTTTTTTTTTTACAATACAAATGAGCCGAATCATGTACAGCTAATATTGAATTCAGTAGGATCAGCTCAGCTCAAACTTGGCACGGACAATGCATATATATTTATAAGACCGTTTTTGCAATTTTTAAGAAAATAGCTTTTATTAGAAAGTTATTGGGTCTTAATACCCCCTTGTTCAACTTTCATTTTTGAGGCTTTTTAAAAAGACTGAAGTTCGATTTGACCGTTAAAAAGGCTTTAAGACAGAATACGTCAATTAAAAATTCTTACGTTAACTGGCGGAACGCTGTCCACTGCATTGCATTTTTTACAATCAGTTTTCGTTTCCACAGTTTCCGGCGTCTTCCTCTTGATATCAAGCTAAAAGGAAAAAAACTTTCCTTCATTTTGTAAGGATCGATTCGGTGCCCTAAAATCATTCTCAAATACCCTTCAGTTTAAATACTTCATCATCAGTGCAGTGTGATTTTCTGGACGGCAATCTGTTTAAGATTGTCATGGGGTTTTTAAGACCACAAGTCCTTTGCAGAATATTAATTGCAGTTGTAATGAGTTATGGGTTTCTTATGTCCATCGTGAGAATTGCCGAATTTAATTTGACTTTTCCATTGATGAAGGAGCCTCGGTAAGTACACTTTTTTGTTATAAGAATGTTGCCTTTTTTCTAGCCCAGGCTAAATATTCTTATTTTTTGCCGATTTTAGGATGAAAAAGTATTCTTGTATTATTCTTGAACTATATCTTATGACTTTTCGGTTTTAGAATATCATTGGGGCATCAATCAGTGCAATTTTATTTGGTGTTGGCTAGTTTTGTCGTTTAGAGAGGAGGATAATTTTATACGGTTAATTAAAAAGTTAACTGAGAGCAAACAGATTTTCAACGCACAAAGTTTTACCCTTTTCAATTTCGTAGTTCTCAGCCTCGATATTCGTATAGAATTTATAGCAATTTCCCGGATACTGGGCTGGGAAACACGAATATCTTTTCAGGAAACTTTTCACTAGTATGAACTATGATATTACATATTTCAACGGACATTTTCACGGCTTTTTCGTACAAATGGACAGAATAGGAACGTTATTAGGAGCGTTTACAACTTGCAAGGAAACACCTGTCCAAATGAAACCGACTGTGAAATCATTAGTATGTTGCGTAATTTAAACAACAATTCACGGTTTACAATATTGGATACCCGAGTCCGCATATACGTAGCTGTTAAGCTAATCTAGGCAGGACAAGACGAGACAAAAGCAAAGTTGAACATTTATTTCTAAAAAAAAGAAACTGAGAAATACTACTACAAGTAGAAAGAAATGCTGAAGTTTTTAACCATATTGAAAAAATTAATAATTATTTAGCGATGTTTCTGTTAGGCCTGCTACTGTCTCAGGTTAAGCTGGCTCGCCTGTAGCTCGACTGCAGCACGACACTAGCACGCTGACTTGGTTTTAGACGTTGAATTTAATTCAGTCGAACAGAACGGCTGTTGCCGAAAACAAAGCACACACACACACACACAAAAACGGTTTGGCAAACTTTTAAATGTATTGTAATGCATTTATAATTTATGAATTGTGTTCGGCACGGCAGTAGCGCGACGTTTGAAACCAAGTCGAGTTACTGCATAGCACGACTTGGTTTCAAACGTCGCGTTACTGCCGTGCTAAAGTTTAATGAGGCCTTCCAAGGGGGGTAGCTGTGTCGCAATGTCGCTTGCTTTAGGAGACCGTTGTCGCCTAATCTACAGCTGCAAATGTCGCTGTCGTTTTTTGAAGTGTACATAACTGTACCAGTAATTTTTGTTTTGCGAGAAACTGTTTCGCAACAGGGCTATAACAGGATTTTCATGGTGGTCAGTTGGCAAAACTTTGTGAGCGGCGAAGGATGAACGTCGGGAAAATTTGGAAAATCTGAACCCTCAGAAATGCAATTTCCTGTATTCTGAGTCACTTTTATTGATAAAATGCACAACTTTCCAATGTCACCGTCGTTTTCACTGTTTAGTATGTCGCTGTCGCATTTTAGCAGCGTAGGCCTTTAATTCGATATAAATTTAGTTCGGCTTGGAAAAGAACGCTAAATAACAATGCGAAAACATTTGGAGGAAACAAGTACCAGGCAAAAGCCAGAGAGTAACCAAAGCTAGTCTAAGCAGTTAAGAAACAACAACAATAACAAATTGACACTTAATTGATGGCTGCCAAAAATTGAATAATAAAACGGTGGAAAACACTACGGTAACTTTAATAAACATTCAGATGCCAAACTCTTGAACAGTGGCCCACTATAAATCGGCGATCTTAATTACCTTCATTCTTTTTCTAACCTTCTTCAATGGCAACAAAGTATCATAGCTTTAAATTCAAAATTGGAAAACAAAACGAGCGCGCTTCGCACGTTTTGCCTCAACTGATGAAGAAAATGTTAAATTGTCGGCGGGAGTCGATTAAAGACGATTTAATATCGAATCAGCTACATTTAAAGAATGAAAACCATCAGAACCAGCGTTAGAAGGCAAAAAGCATCTTGTCCCGAAAACGTCTCTTGCTAACAAAAATTAAGTACTGGAGCGAGAGTGACAAACAGCAAAAAAAAATAATAAAGCACAATAGATAATTAACTAACACCAATAATGTAATAAATGCCCAAGAAATAACACGTAGAAAGTCATTATCTCCTATACTCCGTACCGGAGATAATTTGCAGAACATGAATTAATGGCAAAATTGAATAAATACAGTGAAATGAAAACAATAGCAATAAAAAAACAAAATTTGCAACAAAGTATCATATTAATTACAAATTTTTGCCGTTGTTATAGGCTTAGATTTAATATATAGATTTAGCCAGGGTTAAAAACGGACAAGACGGGCGAATGGTGTAATGTGTAAACGGCGACGGCAACAAAATCAATAAATCTAAGTAGCAAAAAAACCGTGCAACACACTTTTTGCCGTAACGACTACAATGAGGCGGGCGGATGGTGTTCCACCAAAATTTCTCGGATGCCTAGGTAACCAAATTTTCACCCATGGTGTTCCACGAACAACGAAAAGATCCGCTAAAACTAATTTACAATATAGAATTACAAGCAACTGAAAAAGATTAACTAGAAGAGCACTACACATAAATAAATAGGTGCCATGTCAACAAGCAAAATTTTAAAGTCAATTCGCCTTGTTACTGTCCACGGTTGGCGGGTGGGGCATAATCCCGTCATATTGCCTGATATATCATGAGACCGCGGCTATTTTAAACGGAGGAACGGGGAATGGGGAATGGGGAATGGTGGAATGGGGAACGACGAACGAGGAACAAGGAAGGAAGAACAGGGAACGGGGAATCTTTATAATGGAGAGGGAAATCTTTAAATTGCTTCTGAGTAAAATGTCTGAATCTTGTTTGGTGAAAGACAACAAAATAACCATTCAGTTTAAATGACTGTTTTTTTTCCCCTTTTTTAGTCATAGACTTAAACAAGAAAGGTTAATGATACTGAGGGAAACACAGTCACAAGTTCATACGACTTGACCGGCAACCAGGCACAAGAGAAAACTTCAGTCCCATGCAAGCCGGTAAACAATATTTTATTTTTGAAGGTACACAAAACGGGCTCAAGCACAGTGACTAACATTTTTAACCGATATGGCGATAAAAGAGATCTGATATTTGCTTTGCCGACGGAAGACAGCTTTCACTGGCCTCTTCGATTCGAAGTAAGTTACGCAACTACATTTGGTGGGGCGCCTAATATTCTGTGCAATCACGCAAGGTATAATAGGGCTCCAATGCACTTCCTTTTTCCCAAGGAATCAACTCGCTACATCACAATGTTGAGAGATCCACCCGCACAATTAGAATCTGTTTTCAATTATTATGATATATATAGAAAGACTTTTCAGCCACAAAGCTCCCCCATGACACCACTGGAGAGCTTTTTCCAAAATATCACTTTTTATCGGTCTAGTCGAGTACTAGATGGTTTGGGGGTTGACTTAAACTTACTGAAAAATCCATCTCTATTTGACCTTGGACTTGATCGAGAATACCACGAAAACTTGACTTTGGTACAGGATTACATCCGTTTTCTGCAGCAAGAGTTTGATCTTGTGATGCTCATGGAATACTTTGACGAGTCGTTAGTTCTGCTAAAACGACAACTGTGCTGGAAAATGGAGGACATTCTTTTCTTTAAACTTAATGAGCGGGTGCAAAAGGAAAAGCAACGTATCTCGAATCAGGTGAGAGAACAGATTAAAAAGTGGAATTCAGCCGACGTGCTGCTATACGACGTGTTCAATCAAACGCTGTGGCAGAAGATAATGAAGGAAGGTCCTGATTTCTTCGAAGATCTTTCGATTTTCAAGAAAGAAAAAGAGGCCATGAAAAACAAATGTTTACGAAAAGGAAAATTCCTTACGAAACTGTGGGCTTGGAAAAAAGTTCAAGGTTATAAATTAAAAACAAACATTTCAAAAGAACTTAATACAACGTGCACGAAAATGACAATGAATGAGTTAAAATATCTGAGTTATCTCCAAACAAAACTAACCAAACAGCTTCAAGATGTTGATGACAATCGTATTGTGCTTTGCCTACTATTATTTTGGCTGATTTTATGTATTTTGCTTCTTATAATTTCTTGTTGTGGTGAGTTGTGGAAGAAGCATTTGCTTTTTAATGGCAAACTTGCCCGCCGAATAGGTCGAATAGGCTTTTGTCGATTGTGCTAGCATAATTTTAAGCATAATTTGGCAAAACGAGCATAATTTTTACCTTTTTTTTAAAGAAAAGTACTGCTAGCATAATCTTTTGTTTTCCTTCCACGTTGTGAAAAATTGTCGTGATTTTGTACCTAACATATTTCTACTTACTGAATTGTGTTTCTAGAAAGTTTCTTGAGGAAAGACGACTTGTTCTAAGTCGCAAGTTTATCTCTGCATGGGCATTGCCCACTGTTAGTGTACCATATAATCTTAGATCTGGGCAAGAAACGTTTACACCCTTACATTAAAACCAAAACAGCGAATTGTTTTATTACTTTTAAATTTTTAGATTAGTTTCATTGCATTTTATATGTATTATAGTATCACTGTTGTTAATTTTATCACTTGACAATTCAGTCTTTACTGCAAAGAGTGCACGTAATTTTAGCAAACCTAACAACAAATGAAGTATGTGCACTTTTTGGCTATTTGTATGGCTGTGTTTTTTTTTACTTACGTGCTATAAATTCTCAAACAAATCTTTAAAATTTGGCCTCGAGGATCCTGTTCCGAGCCAAGTCTACCTGCGAGTTAGGGGCTGTCGCATAGAAGGGTTAAAAACAGAACTTAATGCTAACAACATTATAAACAACAACAACGTTTATTTTGTAACTTGAAGAACTGAATAGATACATGAATAGTATAAAATCAAAAATAAACTCACTAACTGGACATGCAAATAAACTACAAAGCTTATCTGGTTGGATGACCATCGCTTATTATTGATCATTAAACAAGGACAAAGGTGTCCTAGATCTGAGGATGACTTAAATAGTTAACATCAGCTTCAAAAATCAAGTATATTACAGGGCAAATTCGTTGCTAAAACACATATAAGTAAATATAAGGAGAAAACTAGAAACATAAAATATCTCCAACATTAGTCAAGATCAATAGCCACTGAATAACATGCAAAGTTAATTTTTAATAATTTGGAAGTTAGACTCTGGAATCCTTCACCAATTTCATTCCTTAATTTAGGTCCATCACGTCAAACATTAAATTTGCCTCAATTTGTGTGAATTTTTGGAAGATAAAAGGTAGATCTACTGTTGGTCGCAAAGCGAATGGGTGCCATGTTCTTATATCAAAGGAAAAAAGAGAATAAAAAGATATTTCGCAGATTGTCAGAATCAAATTGATACATGAAAAGAGTTTAGTGCTTGATGTCATCCTGAAGCTTTAGAAAGTACTGTAAAACTGACCAAACAATGGACTAGTATGTTCATCATAAGTAGAGAGAGTAATTTAAACGGGATGGTTTCCTTTGCATTATTTGAAGTGGTTTAATGCTATGCAGGGGCGCCCAACAGGACATTTTGAGAAAAAGACCTTAAAACAACAACAGAATAAGAATAAAGCTTTCGGGAGCCATTTTAAGCATTTTGGGAGACTGCTGGGAAAAATTTATCTGTTCCTGACTCCCGGCAAGACTGGTGGAAGAGTTCCCAGCCAGCAAGGGTCACTTACAACCTGCAACCTGGCTTACTGGAAGTTTCCCAGCAGACGTATGTCCAGACATTACTGGCCAGTTTGGGTGTGCTCATAGGGCAAAATTAAGGATTTCCGTTGGGGAGGGGGATGGGACGACGATAAGAAATTGGGTGGGGACAGAAGTTTCTGACAAATAGCACATAGCAGCTATTCTAGACATTAAATCCCCTTAGACACCCTGCATTGTCTATTTCCCAGGAACGCTTTCCTTCCAAGGACATCTTATTTCTTCCAAATCTCACAGCCAGCAAAAATTGGCCTGTAGAACAGATATTGTGAGGAGCTCCTGGTTATGGTCATATTTGAGATATCCAGAACAGTCAACCATTCGAGAAGGGGAGAATCGAATTAAACGGCATGGTACTGTCAACAATTCTGATCTTAATATATATTGACAGCCAATACCTGTTTGTACTTTTTATATAAAATTTCTTGGATTTGTACCTAGGCATAAAACAATTTCTGCTGATTAAATGGTTTACCATGTATTTCAATTTAAATAGAACTACCGTAAAATTCCGAAAATAAGCCCCTCTATGTATAAGCCCCTCCAAATATAAGCCCCCCAAACTCGTAACGCAAAAACCCCTCCGTTAAATTGTCCCTCCAAATATAAGTCTCTGCGGTGGCTTGTACTTGGAAATTGCCCTCAAATACAAAGTAAAACAAAGCAAAAACGGTAAATTTACTTCCAACTATAAGGTTAGCCCAATTGATTTTGAAACGCAAATTTCCCTCCGTAGATAAGCCCCTAAAAAAGGGCCTTTGAAAAATATAAGCCCCAGGGCTTATTTTCGGAATTTTACGGTATTTCTCTGTTTCTGATAAGGAAAGAATATTCAAAACATATGTTTTAGCAATATCAAAGGAAAGTTTGTTTGCGCCAAGTCATAAGCTAATGTAACTGAGTTACTGATTGGGAATTTTCTTTAGACGCTCTAAATCGCTATAGGAATAAAACAAATTAAAATCATCTGTTGATGAACAAAAAATCAAAAATAAATGCTGAAAAAAATATTGTTGAAAAATATTTAATAATTTATATAAATGATGAATAGTAAGGGCAAGTATACAGCCTGGCGGTTCTCAACATTTTATTTGCAGTAGGTCTGAATCTGAATGGTTTGTAGAAATAAAATTGCTGTCTGTTAAGCAAGTACGAGATGAACCAGTCATTTGGTAAGCCAGTTAATTGTGCCTCAGATCAGAGAAACAAGGCATGCGCAGAACAACCGGAACCGCAGGAGATTTGATGCCCCGCTGACCAAAAAGTCCGAAGACCTTGGGTACGAGAAAAGAAAACTCATCCGAGTTTTCTGTGCTGCGGTGTTGATGACTGATTCCTTAAGAATCGATTTCTCCCTCTTATACCGCAAAAGGTTGAGAATTTGGTAACCTTTCATCGTTAAAGAAGATCCTTTATAGCGACTTCTGTAACCAGCCAGTCTTTATTTCATTCTTCTGGGTGAGTTTTAAGTAAAATATTCTTTGAGTATTGCGCAAAATGTGAAAGCATGGCCATAAAATAATGCAATTAACATATTTTGTTGATGTTTGAACGCTAGTCTAGCGATTGCTCCGCTTTTCGTATATTCTGTGTGCATTTTACAGGTGTTTCCCATAAACGTTCAAGTACTTTTAGGATTTAGGGACTTGACTTAAACTTTTGAAAACCAAAGATCTCTTCAGACGCCTTATTTGGAATTCATAGACAGGAAATTTCGGAACAGGTGACGGAAGACGCAAATTGTATTTAGACAGTACATATATTATTCAAAAACTGACGATTTTCATACTGTAAAAGGTTCACAAAGTAAAATCAGGGCCTAGAAAGGTCTTTTTCTTTCTCAAGCACCGTCAGTTTAAATTTTCAAGTCACGATAGATTCTGGAAACGAATCACGACCATTACTAGCTATTTCTTGCTTTCACTTCCTCGAGTGAATGACATTGCTGGCTCGCAAGGCAAGGGGATCTCTCTCATTGGTATAAGCATTTTGTGACTTTTTTTCTCTCACTTTCCTTTTTATTTTTGCTGTTCTTTGGCCTCGCTTCCTCCGGTTCTCGCTTTCCTTAATTCCTTCAAGGATTATGAAAATCTTTTGTCTTCCTCACTTCCGCTCTAGCTTGCTTTCGCTTTGCGGCCCTTCTGCACATGCATAACTCAAGAAAGTTTACTGGAGAAGTAGGGTAAAGATCTACAAAATAACATGCAGTGACACAGTCAACCTTAAAGTAAAGGAAAAACCAATTAGATTTCAAAGTAACTTCAGGGCTGTTCGCCAGTAGAGCCTGGTGGCTCTATGAACAGCAAAATTATACTAAAGGTCCATATAGGCTGGTTAATATTTTCAATGACAATATAAAGCCGAAAATGTCAAATTCATGATATCATAATAAATTTGTAAGTTGATATTAAAAAAAAAAAACAGTTTAGCTGTTTTCTGCCTCATAACAATCAAGAGTGGGGCACTAGTATAGGACTAGGCTGTTAATGACAGCGCGGGAATGACATCTGAGTGACTAATTTGTAATGTTTGACTTAGTGCGGTTTTATTTCACCTCTTCCACTTCCAATGGGACATTCAGGGGAATACTTATGTGTATGAAACTCTCTCAAGAACAGTCGGCTTATTTTCTTTATCCTTGAATTTATTTTCTGTCTTTATTCACTGTTTGCATTGGCCGTTTCTACAACAAAGTAACCAACATGTTGTGTTTCTCTGTTTATATATGCTTGTACGTATATTAACACTATGCACGTATGATACAATCTCCAAAAGGCTTCAAGACTGTAGTAAGGTGTCACTAATACAAAGTATGAACGTCGGGATTAGACCAATCTCCAAAATCGAGATTGATCATAGTAGTAAAATGATTTCATCGTGTATTCATTCAAGTGACAGAAAATAAAGTAAAGCTGCTCACATTCTACCATACATTCAGAAATCTAATCTAACAGGGATTGAAACTTGTCAGAAAGGTATATTGTAGCAAAGCACCAGTCTAAAAGACATGTTCCATGTAAACTGAGTATACCACACCACAACGCATGGCAAAAAACCTACATTTAATACAAAAAGACAATGTTTATGCCACCCACCTATCACTGGCAGCACCATGACACAAGCTATAAATGAGAAACATATAATTATGGGCACATTGCTTCTAGACAACGTGTCTATGCATGTTGGAGTGACTACATCCCTTCATTACAACCTCAGAAATATTCATTTCTTCGCGTTGTCCTTCCCCCTTTCGAACAGATAAAAATTTTCACCTTGATATACACAAACAACACATTTTGAACATTCATTGACCAGCTTGAAGCTATCCAGAAGAGGGCCCTGCGAATCGTATACCCTGACCTCCACTATCAACAGGCTCTTGCAAAAGCCAACATTACCAGTTTAGAGGATAGACACGCCCACCTGTGTCTTAAGTGTGGGACAATATCAAAAATAACCCGGATGGCCAGCTGCACCGCCTTCTCCTTCCCGTGCGATCCGATGCCACTCTTACCATCTTAGGAACAGTAGCAGTTCTAGCCGCTTCCAGTATAGAACAAAACGCTTCGATTCTAGTTTTTTCCCAGCAATGACGAAAATTAACTAATCTTACGAGTCTAGTTATCTCTAGTATTGTCCTTCATCTATTTCTGAATTGTAAATAACTTATAAATAGCCTGTAATCCCAGTCCCTCTGAAACAAATGTAATTTTATTTTTAGTTGTAACTTATGTAAGCACATTGTAATTCGTAGTTTTTATGCCACCATGTGTATTTTAATAAACCATTATTATTATTATTATTATTATTATTATTATTATTATTATTATTATTATTATTATTATTATTATTATTATTATAAAAGTAGCCACACTAACACTGCCTTGTACTGAATTGAAGGTCAAAAGTCCCCTTTGGCTTCAAAAGGGTAACATGAAAAACATATCCCAAAGGAAGCAGTGTACTATAAGTAATAACAATAACTAAAGAAGTACAACTATCCATATACCCTCTTAGCTACTCTCTTTACTCTATTGAATTTATTTAGGTATATTTTAAAAAATTGACACTTTTTTCATTGGGTTCATTTTAAACTTCTTACATATCATTTTTGTGGTTTTCCTTGATTTTAGGATATTTTTTGTTATCCATTTATTTAATCTTCGGCCGTTTTTACTTCTCTTGTTACTGGGTCTTATTTATGGTACATTTTTATTCAGCAGCTGATATAATTTAGTGTAAAAGTGATCATAAGCATTTTGGACATCCGTTTTATCGTACACATCTATCCAATCTTCACGTTCCAAGTCTTGATCCACATGACTGATTTATCGTTTTATCATCAATTAACCCCCCAAAAAATGCACTTTATTTGAGTGTCAATGTATTTAGCACGAAAGTACTAATTGGGGACACTATATTTTACGTCTCCAACTGGAGATGGGACCGCCATTTTACGTGGTCATCCGAGCCACGCGAAGGTCTAGCCTGTTGCAGTGCAAAGGGAGTACCTTCATTTCTCGGTTATTTTAAGACCCTGAGTATTGGTCCGGCCCCGGGAATCGAAAGCACGACCTCCCGCTCTGCAGTCAACATGCTCTACCGACTGAGCTAACACTGCCGCGGTTTAAAATTTAAATTTGTTTTGATTATCGTTTGGAAGTTTGAGCTTTTGCAAGTTACCCAGTGTTACAAACACCGGTAAGTAATCTGAAAGATCTGTAAAAAGGATACCACACATTTATAGTTCTCTTCTATTTTGTTTACAAATATATTATTAATCAGGACTGCATCAGTTGCTCTTTTGATTAAAGGGTAAAACTTCAAATTTGTATAGTCTTTAACGTGATGATTTTTTTCGAGTGTCAGTAAATCAAGATTCAAATCTTCCATCAAAAAGCATATTTTTGTTTTTGCATATCCCATTTTTGTAATAGTTCAGCAAGGCATTCCTTAAGCCGTTATTTCAACGACTTGTGATTCTATCCTGACATCATTGCAATTAATTTTATGGTGAGATCGTCTCGTTCTCTAAACTGGAAGGAATTTTTTTACATACAAATACCACCTCCTAGTTTGTGCGTCCTAGTGTCACCTGTGTTATCACGGATAATTAGCTAATAGAAAATTATGTACATTATCACAATTTAGCCAAGTTTCTGATAACCCTCTGTAGCCAAATATTCATGTTTCAAGGAATCTAAACATGCTTTTAAGTCATCAAACTTATTCATTATTCTTCTACTATATTTAAGTACAAGATTGAGAAATCTGTATTTCTAGAATCACTTATCAATTGCTTAGAAGTATCCTTTCCATGATAACAACAAGCATCAACATAATTTAAATATAAGTGTGTTGTAGTAATTATAATCAGGAACTAGAAGGTCAGAAATTAGCGTTAAATAAGAATTATTACGATTACTTGATGCAAAAGGGTTAATGATAGCGTGTCCCGACGCGATTATCATCTAGTTCTACTTGTATAAGTCAGAATATTTTGACACTGAAATAATTACAGAGTTCGTGATTACTCAGTTGCGAAAATGACAATGAATTATTTAATATGGAGCTGCTTATTTAGGCATTTATACAATTTAGATGGCAACTCTAACTCTCCTCATTGTTTTTTATTCAATGTTTCCTAGCTCGTCAATCTAGGGTAACAAGAACATCTCTAATCGACCGCTTTCCCGGAGCACTTCGCACTTCACCCTTACTGTTCGCCTGTTGTAGCCATTCTGCCGCCTGTAAGCTCTGAGGGAGAGGGTAGCCCCATAATTTGGCCTATTAAGTACAAAACAAGTAACAATAAAAAGATAACCTGTGATAATGATTTTTGGATTATGATTGACATTTCAAGGAGACCAAAATGACTGATATAGAAACCATATCTATCTGTGACGTTGATTATACAAATCGCCCAAGCGAACACGAAGTTGTTGAAGTGGAAGAATCAGAAGAATATCTGGGGTAATCCAGCGTCTTGGGCTCCCGTCAGCGAATAAAATTTTGGCGGGATTTCGACAGTGCTTCGCGGGCTTTTTGGAGAGTGATTTGTCACTGAAGGCACATCGACACTTACATCGTCCTAAGCCAGAGAAAAAAGGCTTGAATCCTTCGCCGTTTGATCAAAAAGGTCGTCCATTTAATCAGATGATCTGTCTTGCTGTTCCTCGAGGGGATGTTAAGTAGAGCCCGAGCTCTCGCATTCGTTTATACCGGCGACTATAAAATGTGCATTGTTGACGGCCTTTCTCAAACGTTCAAATAGAGAAGATTTAAAAATTTCTTTGGTCAGGGTCTTTTCCACGCAGAGTTCCTGCCAAACTGGAGAAAGATGTGCTAGCAGAGAGTGTATTCCTCCTTGTGGCTCCTCAGTAAAAACTTGATACGCCGACTCGCCGTTTTCGCTTCGAAGGTCACCAACGTTGACGGGGCATACTACTCTTGAAAGAAGTTAAATAAGCCATCGGAGCACTATTTTCTTAAAAGAAAGCACTTGAAAAACCATTGAAAGCGTATCCAGCCTATTTGAATCCAAATGCGGCGAGAAAACTGTAGTTATCAATTGCGAACCAGCCGCGAAGATCGACTTCCAAATTTTCAATCGACCGTGAAATGAATTTATAATACCCAAATAGTCTGATCAAATTTCGCGTTTCCTTGAGATGTCTGGTTCGTTTAACCAGAAGTACAAAGTTCCTTGATGTCCGGCGCTCTCTAAAAGGTGTCTGGAGGAATGCTTTTAACTAATTACGAAAGTAACGCTTGTCTGTTATTGGAAACCGATCTGCGGTGGTTGCTGTGGAGATTAGGCCTCCTCGGGCGCGCACTAAAATCGGGGCTCTGGCCTGTTATGTTAGCCTCCCACGCAGGCGTTTTTAGGGGAGCTCGTATTTCTTCCCTCCCCACAAACGCCTGCTCAACAGAGGACAACATTTGTGGGGAGGGAAGAAATACGAGCTCCCCTAAAAACGCGTGCGTGGGAGGCTACTGTTATGTGTAATACTCGACAAAAACGGACAAGTTGCAAGAAATTTCCTTAATATAACAGGGCTTTGCTTTATGCTGGTTACATCATCATTTTGTTTTGATATTCTCAGCGATAAGCCATTACCGAAGTTTAGCTTTTAATTTCCTAACTTTCATCAATTGGCCGCCAAACTGACTTTAAACTACTGACAGCATGTCTGAGAAAGCAAACATTTTTGTCTTAATTCGTATGAAATTTCTCCATCAGGTAACGGTTTTTTCTATTTCATTTGCTGATAAACTCTAGCATCAACTCATCTAATTTGTATTAGAGTGGCTACAGTCAGGGGTGTTTTAACAAGTTGACATTGACATCAGTTAACGACAATTATACCCTTACAAATACCCAGGCATTCACGGTCTGATGCCATTAAAGGATTGTAAAATTGATAAAGAGTGAGAGTTAGTATTGATTCAAAAAGGTGAATGCTAAAACTTTCCGGCTGGAAGCTATCGTGAGGCACCTTGTTACGCAAACAGTTATGCTCTATCTCAAACTTTTAGTATTAATGTTATAAAGCTCCGTCTGACTTATAGAAAATGAATTCACCCTAGTAGTATGATATCTACTAACGTATTCTTGGAACACTTGCAGAATGGATTACATTGACACAACAGACAAACTTCTGAAGTCTTTGAATGGCTTGCTGTCCGCATTAACTCGGCAGATAAACGGTGGAGAAGACACGTTCCTCCACCAAGCTTCTCAATTTGTACAATTCGCCATCACTACATTGGAAAAACAGGACCCCACGTTAAAGAAACAGATAAATAAGGGAATAGACTTTATCGTTTCTTCGATTGCTTCATTGGTTACAAAAGTTGTATCTTCGGGGGCAATTTATAATGCCACTGTCTTTGTCAGTCAGGAGATCGGTGAATTTTTTAACGATGGTTCTATACCTAAAATCATGCGCAACAAATATGATGAGCTTGTACGCCGTCTCGCCACTGCGCTGGAGAGGAAGACAAACATCGAGGATTTGTGTAGCAAGCTACTGGGTGAGGTAAGAACTACCTGTAAATAAAAAGGAACCTGTCCTAGTGGTGAATCTTGAATAGGAGCTTCCCAACATGCACCCCACTCTGCTTTCACACACTAGTGACACTAGGGCACCAATGATATGGCCAAAATTAAATTGAAGGTCTCACCCGCGCAGGATCTACCTTCAAGTTATTTATATGGCAGTTTCACACGTCTGGGTGCCCAGTATTAGTAAAAAAAAAATCACCAACCCCCGCGCCGTGAAGCATTTTTTATGAAAAAAAAATATTAATTGAAATATTAAGAATTTTATATCATAGTCGTAAGCTGGCTCTTGTAAAATATTAAAATGTTAAGATAAATAAAAATGTTTCCGTTAATTTGTCCTTAAATTTTGTCCACCATTCTACATAGCTTAAGATCAATGGCAACAACATACTAAAAGTTTAAATTCAATAAAAATTTCAATATACAGTGATAATTTTTTTCCTAAAAAAACGCTTTCGCAATAATCATCTTTGTTTAAGCAAGAATTTTGAAAATAGCGCAATGCTTAGTGTACTCTATTTAACAGATCTCTGCATTCTTTGTAAGATGCTGGCTCTCTTTTCTCCAACAAGTTCCTTTACTGTTTGACTCACTGACTGACTGAATATCCATCCCAGAACATCAAGAACGATGTTGTACCATATCAAACTTTGCCTATTGTTCAGGTTGCATTTTTGGAAGACAATCAGATGGTGCTTTCGTTTCTTTTGTACATGTTTCACTTGGTAGCCAGGATTTCTCTCCCTCAATTGCCACATTAGTGGACTATATTTCTGTGCCTTCTCCTTCTCTTTCACTATCTCACCAAGGACAGCTCGTTTCAATGGCTAATACTCGTCTCTGCATTTTGTCGAATATTCTGGCGTTTATTCTGTTGGCCCTCATCACCTCAATGCTGTCTGCATAAACCGTTACATCCCATAATGCTTGCGCACTTCCATTCTCATACGACGGTTGGGTTGGGTCTTTGAATACCATGGAGATACTTCAGGTCCTTCAGCATCTCAAAGAACAGAGTTTTAAGAGTTGCGTTATGCCTCGCGAGTAGCCCGCGTAGGAGGCGCTTGGAAGTAGTGGGCGAAAGAGAGAACGGGCGCGCGAGAGGGGGACATACGAGGGGTGAGGGAGCGCCTGCACGGAAGGCCCCCGAAAATCGTTTCCCGCCCCCAACCTAATTACCCGGCAGCCGTTGCGTGATTTGACAGAAAACGACTGACCTTGCACAAACAAAGCGTGCCGCCAAAAAGCGTTGTACATTTTATCTTCGGTCTAAATATATCTGTTATAAAGATCAGCTGGGTTATCCGAAAGGAGAGCGATGGAGCAATAAACTGATGGCACATAGCTTTAAATCGTTTTTAACCACGGGCACAATAAATAGGAAATAACAAAGTCAAAACTGGGTATCTTTTAAAGAATGCATGCTGTGTATTATAAAAAATTAAAAATATTGTTCTCTGAGCTTACTTAGCCACAACTGTACAGACAACAACGATCACAGCGTACGTGGAAAATGACCATATTTATTGCGGTAAGTGGCAGCCATTTTTAGAGCAGACATGTCTTACTAAGTGGACCTAAGCTTCAGAACACAAACTGTACCGACACGTTTTCTACTGCAGTAATGAGACAAAAACAACAGACCTCAGGTCGCCTCCGAACGGCGAATAATACAATAGTCTGAATGTGAAACGTTTTTTCAAATTCATGCCCCTGGTAAGTGTTACATTTCATCAATCATGTCCAAGTTTTGAACACAACATTGTTGAACGTATTCTAGTATTTAAACGGTAGATATAGGCTTATTTTTATCCCCTAAACATTTTTCATCTGTTCGGATTTCCTTGCTGAAAGTCTAGTGATCCTAAAATTATAGGGATCAAAACTTACGTTTCCAAAAATTTCATCCAGAAAAAAGGCTCCCGAAAATTCTAGGTGACCTTTTTAGGGTAAAAATCCGTTAAGGTGTTTCGATATAGTTTTTCAGAGGCCATACTGGTATTTTTCAATCGCTTTAAAAGTGATTTTTTTCTTGTCTGATCGCTATAAAATTTTCAACAATGATTGACTATAGATTGAAATTTGTCAAAACGTGGGTTTTATTAAAATCGATATTATTATGACAACAATAAGCCAAAAACTTTGAAATTGATAAACGCCTAATTTTGCGCGATCTAGACCAGCTACTGAAAATCCAACACTAGAAACTTAAAGATTGACGTTTAGCAAATAACCTCCGTGAGTAGTAAAAAATTCTGTATGTTTGAATTCGACTAAAACGAAAATATATATCACCTTAAATTTTCAATAGCCGTGATAGATTGTTTAATAAAAACGTTATAAATGATTCCAATTATTCTTAAGTAGCGTCAGAATGCTTCTTAATATCATACTTCGATACTAGGAAATTTTGGTGTATTTTCGTTCTTGCGATCTTAAAAACTAAGACGTTTTCTCATCACCTGTCAAAGTACAACTTCATTCAAAATTTGGACTTTTAGTGCTTTTTTGTATATCTCTGAAACGGCTCGAACGAATTTTTTTAAAATCTCTTCACATAATCATCATAATGTATATAATAATGTCTGAAACTTGCATTGATTGATTCACTGTAACACCTTGAACCTATCCTACGAATCGGTCAAAAATCTGCGTTACAACAGTCACTGTTTTGACGTTATGCTAATTTTTCCAAATTAATGCGGACAATACGTATATCCATGACTAGTACATTTCAGTGTGAGTATTTTCAATGTTTTACATGCAAAAGATGCGATAAATTCAAACTAAAATGTACTAGTCATGGAGGTATGTATATTGCGCATTATTTTGAAAAAATTAGCATAACGTCAAAACAGTGAATGTTGTGACGCAGATTTTTGACCGGTAAGTAGGATAGGTTTGTCTTAAAATTTCAAGGTGTTGCAGTGAATCAATCTTAATGAAAGTTTCAGACATTATTATATACGTTATGAAGGGTTATGTGATGAGATTTTAAAAAATTCGTTCGAGTCGTTTCAGAGATATGCAAAAAAGCGCTAAAAGTCCAAATTTTGAATGAAGTTGCCTTTATTGCTGGTTTCAGTGTCACGTTATTCTTAATAGATCAAAATAAAAATCAAACCGTTCAATACATAAAGTCCAGAATCTGGGAAATGAAAGGAGGTACATATACAAAGACCCTCGCCAAGATTCAGGGCAGAGGAATCTTTCCTATACGAGATATCCGAAGAAATGTTTTACCCAAACTTATAGAGATTTGTATGGAGACGCCATGGTGGTGCTCACCTGGATGAGCTCCAACATGGCGGCCGGAAACCAACAGAAACATCTGTTACCGAGTTTTGCTACAAAAGCGTGAAAACCAACAATACAGGTGGTGAGAAAACGGGTTAGTTTTCAAGATCGCAAGAACGAAAACACACCAAAAGTGGCAATGTTTGCAGATGACACTAAAGTATACAAGGTAGTGATGTCTGAGGATGATGGCGCCGTTCCTCAACAAGGCCTTCAATGATAAGAAATGCAAGCTTCAGACCATTACGAGGAAGCGCAAGCCCATCTATACGAGCTACGAGGTTAACGGCAGTACCATCAAGTCCTGTGAGGTAGAGCGTGACCTTGGCGTCTCCTTGGACTGTGACTTGACTTGGCACGCCCAAGTCTCTCACCAAGCTGCACGTGCAAACAAGTTGTAAGGTTTCGTTAGGAGGAACTCTAGGTTTATTCACAGTACTTCCGTAAGGCGCACATTATACCTCGGGCTAGTCCGTGCTCATCTTGGCTACGCAATCCAGGTCTGGGCGCCCCAAGGCATTGAACTAATTTCTAAACTCGAAAGTATCCAAAGACGTGCCACCAAATTCATTCTTTGCTTGCCTTTTTTAACAAATATCTCTTACAAAGAAAGACTAATGTCTGTAAACCTACTTCCTGTGTGCTACTGGCACGAGTTACTAGATGTAGTATACTTTTACAAGGCTACGCATAACATGATTCACTTAGATCCGTGTGTTGTTCCCTTCGTGCGCGAATGCGGGCGAAGGACCCGTATATCCGTGACGAGCTCTCAATCTTTTGTGCATAAAAAATGCAGAACTTCTACCTTTCAGAAATCTTTTTTCATTAGAACCACTAGAATCTGGAACCTGCTTATTACTAGACTTGACCTAGATAATGTTACTTTTGAGAACTTTAAATCTGTTCTTTACGGTTATTACTCGCGGGCTCTAGCAATAAACTATGACCCGGACTCTCCAAGGAGCTTCAAAAGTATTTGCCTGAAATGTAACACAGCCAGGTTTTTAGACCAGGAAATTAGCTGCTGCATGAGATTTAAATTGCTACTTTTATATCTTTTTATTTTTTGGGTCCGCAGTAATTGGCTTTAGCTGTTGCGGTGTCCCTGCTATAATATTTTGTTTGCATATCTACAGTGTTTTTTTGTTTTTGTTGTTGTTGTTGTTGTTTTTGCATTCTTCAGGGCAAAGCTGATAAAAATAAAAATAAAATAAAATAAAATTTCCTAGCATCAAAATATGATATTAGGGAGTTTAAGCAAATCGCTACGGCGACCTCTACTGTGCTCCCTCACCCCTCGTGTGTCTCCCTCGCTCGTGCCCATTCTCTCTTTCACCCACTACTGCCAAGCGCCTGCTACGCAGGCTACCTCGCGAGATACTTAGTCTGAGCGAGTGTCCCACACCCCGCCAATACTAGTGCGGCACACTTTCGGGCGATTTACCATACATTCGGCACATGACATTTGAAGTTCCACTCCCTTTTCCAGTTCTCCTTTTATTGTATAAATTGGTTGGTAACGTCTGTTGGTACAGTTCCTGCATGGCTGCTACGGTATGGGCTAGCACCGATCTCCAGCTATTCATCCATGCAAAACACCCTCCACTGTCAAGGGCCGAGTACTCCCATCTATTGTTAGTCAGTTTTACTTGCAATTTCTTTTCTCTTAGTGTGTCACAAATGCAATACGCTTTCTGTTGGGTCTTGGCTAGAGTGCCGTCACCATCCTCTGTAGTAACCCTTGAATAAGGATTCTGTTCGAGTTAAGTGTAGCTCTAAGGCATACTTTTCTGCATCTTTGATGATTGAGTGACACCCGGTCTGCACTGCCTTCTCGTCAAACTTCGTCACGGCGCTCATGGTAGTATCTGAGTTCTCAAATAGCTTTACAGACGCTTTGATCTTTGTGCTTTTATACGCCGCTTCAACTGATCGAAGGCCTCTTCACCGATCTTTCTTGAAATGTAGAGTTGTGCCACCGATCTCAGGGGCCAATTTCCACACCATTCTCTGCGGTAACTTTACGCGCTTCTCTATCCAACTGCTGTAAGTCGGCATGTCTGAGTGACCGTGTCCGAGTCCACATGAAATTCGTTAGAATTGGTAAGGAACTGGTTGGACGCAGCAACTCTGTGGTAGTCTGACATCGGGCTAGACCAGATAATAGATAGCCTTTAAAAGTACACCTTCGCTATATTTTTTGAAGAACCGTTCTGTCTTCTTGTTTTACATTTTCCAATACTCTCAAAAACTTGTAAGAACCCCCACAGGCAGCCCAAACTCTGTGGGAGTTCGTTGGACTTTGAATTTTTAAGAGAACGTATCCTAAATTCCATTTTTTGACGAAAACAGAAATAAAAATTACATATATTGTGGTTGTGTTTTGTTATTTACTGTCTCTTCGCCTCTAGAGTCATTCGGAAGCCGTTTTATCGACGTTTAAGATTTTGAGTTGTACTAA